ATACCACCATTGTGTTGTGCTCATCTGGGAATCCACCAATATGGGTAGGCCAACCAGTAATTCTTCTTGACCCTTTTGAACCTTGCTAAAAAGCTAGTTTTTCTCCCTCTTGGGTCACATTTTCTAGTTTTCCACCATACAGCTGTGTTGTACTCATATGGGAGGCCACCTTTCTGGGGTGGCCAGCCAGCATTTCTCCTTGAACCTTTTGACCCCTGGTCAGCCGACCAGGGGGAGTGGTTGGCCGACCACCTGAACTGGTCGGCCTGCTTCTTGCTTTTTGCTCTCTCTGAATGCATCACAGTTGTGCCAGCTGGGAGGCATTTGGACCATCCTCCATACACGTGTATGGAGGATATTTGAAGCTTCCAAGAGAAGCTTTAGAGCCTCTCCTCTATAAAGGAGAGGCTTGTCTTGATTTTCAAGGGTTCAACAATTTTGTTTAAGGCATACACACACTTCCCTCCATAGCCCACTATTCCAAGCTCCAAACCCTAATATTCTTGCACCATTTGCACTACACCTCATAACCTACCACCTCAACCATCCATCCAAGCATCTTGGAGCTGATTTTCGGAGGTTAAAGAACTCCCATCTTGGTCCAGAAGTTGCTAGAAATCTGCTCTTCAAGGGTGAGTCTCTATTTCCCCTTTTCTTGCATTATTTTGCTACATTGATTAGCCTTATTTTCAAGCTTTTCTGGACTTTTTCATAAATTGAAAATTGTCTTCTTTTGAGCTCCTCTTGAAGTTTGATTGAGGGCACTTTTCTGTTTGAGGCCATCTACCTCCTTGTATGCTCTAATCCCTCTTTGTAGGCTTATTTTGCATCATATCTTAGCCTTGCTTGTGAGCATTTTCGAGATTGGTCATAAACTGAAAAGAGTCTTATTTTGAGCCCCTCTTGATGTTTGATTCAGGTCACTTTTCTGTTTGGGGTCACCTTCCCCTTTGCATGCTTCATTCCCTCAGGTTTAAGGCTATGCATTAGAGCATTTGTGTTGGCCGTGGTTTGGCCTTTTAGCCACTGAAATCTAGTGGATTTTTAGTGGCTTAGATGTGTCTTTGAGCCCTAAAATCATAGGGGGGTGACCCCCTCTCTCCTTGTCTTGTTTGTTGGTCCTTTTGGCCTTCCAAAGAGGCCCCATCTTGCATGTTTTGAAGTGTTGTTTCAGGCCTTAGCTCTGAGGTCTGCCTTAGCTCTGGTCACCTGGTCAGCCGACCAGGGGGAGTGGTTGGCCGACCACCTGAACTGGTCGGCCTGCTTCTTACTTTTTGCTCTCTCTGAATGCATCACAGTTGTGCCAGCTGGGAGGCATTTGGACCATCCTCCATACACGTGTATGGAGGATATTTGAAGCTTCCAAGAGAAGCTTTAGAGCCTCTCTTCTATAAAGTAGAGGCTTGTCTTGATTTTCAAGGGTTCAACAATTTTGTTTAAGGCATACACACACTTCCCTCCATAGCCCACTATTCCAAGCTCCAAACCCTAATATTCTTGCACCATTTGCACTACACCTCATAACCTACCACCTCCACCATCCATCCAAGCATCTTGGAGCTGATTTTCGGAGGTTAAAGAACTCCCATCTTGGTCCAGAAGTTGCTAGAAATCTGCTCTTCAAGGGTGAGTCTCTATTTCCCCTTTTCTTGCATTATTTTGCTCCATTGATTAGCCTTATTTTCAAGCTTTTCTGGACTTTTTCATAAATTGAAAATTGTCTTCTTTTGAGCTCCTCTTGAAGTTTGATTGAGGGCACTTTTCTGTTTGAGGCCATCTACCTCCTTGTATGCTCTAATCCCTCTTTGTAGGCTTATTTTGCATCATATCTTAGCCTTGCTTGTGAGCATTTTCGAGATTGGTCATAAAATGAAAAGAGTCATATTTTGAGCCCCTCTTGATGTTTGATTCAGGTCACTTTTCTGTTTGGGGTCACCTTCCCCTTTGCATGCTTCATTCCCTCAGGTTTAAGGCTATGCATTAGAGCATTTGTGTTGGCCTTGGTTTGCCCTTTTAGCCACTGAAATCTAGTGGATTTCCAGTGGCTTAGATGTGTCTTTGAGCCCTAAAATCATAGGGGGGTGACCCCCTCTCTCCTTGTCTTGTTTGTTGGTCCTTTTGGCCTTCCAAAGGGGCCCCATCTTGCATGTTTTGAAGTCTTGTTTCAGGCCTTAGCTCTGAGGTCTGCCTTAGCTCTGTCCGGAGCCCCTTTGGCCATATTTTATGTCTATGATGCATGTGTAGAACAATCTCATTCAAGGCCTTTCAAAGGGGCCTTTCATTGCATCATTTCTAGACTAATTTATGTGCCTTTTTGGTGAGTTTTAGGGTTGTCATAACTTATTTCCAGAGGTGGTTTTGCACTTTTGTCTGTCTATCATGTATGTGTAGAACAACCCCCTATCATGAAATACGTCTGTTTTTGGTTGGTTGGGTGAGCCCTCGTATGCTTCATATAGTTGCAGAACAACTCATGGTTCACTAGCTTTCTTTGCATGCTTTATAGGCCATTGATTCTAGCATATTTTGGCTATGCCTTAAACTGATAATGTGCTTATTTTGGACTGCCCTAGCTCTGTTTTTGGGTCTTTTGGTCGAATGATGTTAGTTTTGCATGCTTGTAGTTCAAGGTCCATGCTTAGCTTTGAGTTTTGAGATCCATTCCATGCATATACTGAGGTGTGTTCATGTTTTGAGCCTATTATTCATCACATTTCAGAGCTTGTTTGAATGCCATGTTTTCATCTCTTTAAATGCGTTTGAGAGTCGGGCTTGTATACCCCATTTACCGACCATTGAATGAGCTCCATTTCGTTGCATTTCGAGTCATCATTTTAGGTCAATTTCCCAGTATTTCAGACCTGCCTAGGGTCTTTTTGGGGTTGGTTTTGCCTTTGGTGCAATGCTTTGGGTACCTCTAGTGTAACGCACTTCACTAGTTTCGGTACCCGGGCACCCTAGCTTGCATTGTGTGCCATATTTGCATGCTTCGAGACCATATTTCATGCTGTTTCAGAGCTGTAATTTATGCTATTCCATGCCATCTGTCATCCCTTGTCATGCTTTGATAGAGTGGCATTTGATGCCT